AGATAGATAGATAGATAGATAGATAGATAGATAGATAGATAGATAGAAAGCGTGAGGTTACATAATTCTAAAAGCAACTGTGACCATCTTATCTTGCCTTATGAACAGCTCTGAATAACTCAAGGGCGCTCCGCTCCCACCGTACAAAATGTGAGTGAATAGATGGAGAAGAAATAGAAAAACTACCAAAGAAAACAATGATGCGTGTGTTGGGGGGGGGTTCCTGTCACATATGTGATTTGCCTCAAAATATTTCTCTTAAGAGGTTTTGTTGAGACGAAAAACATTGGAGTACAATACCTTGAAGCAAAATTCACACTCATACAAACACCCACACAGTCCCTGTTCCCTTCTGCTTCTTATATATGCTTTTCAATATTTCTAAACATGACATTTGAAGAAATATTCAGCGGAACAGTGAGTCTTTCAGATTAAGTTCTTGGGCTCTCCTCTCATTCTCAGCTCACTTGACCATCATACATGTCTGTCCACAAACAGGCACAGCAATGTCTCTAAACCATGGTGACAACTCCTTCTCCCACTTCACCAAGTGGATTTTTCGGTTTAAAATGTGTTTAACAGAAAGAACTTGATATTTCTGTGTTTCAGAGGTGGTTAGGTTCTGAGGGAACTGTAAAACGGTGCAGATTATTTTTCAGCGGATTAAAATTGGAATCATCTTGATGTGTGGAATCCAGAATGGGTTAACCATCAGGTTGAATCTGCACAATAACTAAATATTAGGGAAATAGCTGCAGGCTGTGGTGCATTTTGAATGCAGCAGCAGCAAATGTAATCCGTAGAGCAGCGGCTCTGCTGGGGCAGAACAGAGTAATTGGTTGGTGGACTTAGCCTTGGCTGCTTTATAGGACTTGGGCGTTTTGCTGAGACTTTGGACAAGGTCTCTTGAGAATCCCAATTAAAAAGCAGAATGCAGAATATGGGTTTGGTGAGCTAACAAACAAGGTAAGCTTTGCTGCTTGGAAAGCAGTCCGTGTCATGTTTGGAGAGGGGGAGCTGCCCTGATTGGATGTGTGGTTACAGTTTCCAAGTTTCTGACTATTTAAAGGGCAAGGGGCATATATATATGTATATATGTTTTAATCCAACAAGAAAAGTCTATATGAATTTTATAGACTTTAAGGTCACTGTCAATAAGATTCAATCAAGTCACCCCAACATGTGACCAGTCAGTGTTCGAAGTAAAGCTAAATCCTGTTACAAGGTTTTAAAGGGGATGTAATAATATAACCAATGTTTTTTTCAGATATAAGAATTGTTATGACATTGATACTTATTACGATCAGTAATTTTCAGTGCAAGGATGTATGAATGAATTAAAAATCATCTGAAGATTAAGCTCATGCCAGACCGATTTTCTTAGCCAGCACAAAATGTAATAATAGAAGGTCTGAGAATTAATACAAAGCCGAGTCCTTTGAAATTTAAATATTGAAAACTATCCTGACACTGCCTTCTCCAAAATAGGTTAAATCATTGTATTATGTTAATTTTGAGAACACTTCTCACTCTTTGATGTATAATTACATGATTGTCCTTTGCATCAAAGGTGGGCAGAGTAAGAAAGCAGCTCACATCTGAGCTTTGACTAAACCCAAGAAAACGATGTTCTGCACAATGTGAACACACTTTCTAATCATGAGACCAGTATGATTGTCTGATGAATTCCTGCCCTGCGACTGATTTCCATGAACATGTTAAAAAGTACTCACTAAGGCACATAGGCTGTGTCGATCTCACCCTTTTTTATATTGCATAGGAACGGGGACAGTGATATATGACTCCTGTCACCCAACACCAATCGCACACAGCTTGTATCTGGTGTCAGTATGTGCTGATCAGAGCCAGTGAGATTTTCATTCCGCCGTATGGGTATTTTATATGTGTAAAAGGCTGAGAGTGTGCAATATTATCAGATCTGAACTTGCTGACTGGATGATGGGCATCCTGAGCAGTGACTGTCTGCTCCTATGAAGCCATGGAAATACTGTAAAATAACAAAGTCACATTATCCAGCTACAAAGACTAAAAACAGATACTGACGCTTCTCAAAGGAAACCTAAGAGCTCGGCGATGCATCAGTTTTTAGCTTGTTCAGACCTACAGCGGGCATTGTGCTAATGCTCTGTGTGCTGGATTGGGTGTCACTCACTATGATCCTATTGTTTATTGCAACACTGTCTATCTGGTTGTCCTGGCGATTTAAACCTAATTCACTGGTCACAGGTAGGAGAGGGAAGAAGTCCTGTTTGGTCATCAAAACTTACACATTCCCTGCTTAATCTGGATCAAGGCGACTGCTGGCAACAAGACAATAAAGAAAAAAGTAAGTAAGCATTAGATCATGTATAAAGGCGATTGTTTTTGGTCCAGTGTCATCATTTTTAATGGCTGCTGTGGAGAGGTTTTTATAGCACACTTGCTGCAGTCAGCATGTTTGGTTTTGTCTCTGTATTAGTTCTTTCATACTTTTCTCTGCTCATTACAAATACGCTCTCGGGTGATTTAAATGGAAATCATCACAAGTAGTATGGAGAAAGCACACACCTGAGTGTGTAGGGACATTTTTCTATGGAAACACACTTTCAGGATCGATAATGAGCATGTTCTTGGGTCGTTTTTACAGGCACATTCAACCATATTACAAATAAACTGGCAGAATGAAGCGTACCGCTTATCTCAACGATCAACGGTAGGCAGCCATTATTTATTATTAGTATTAGTATTATTATTTAGTTCCACTGAAAATATAAGTCTCTAAGGTTTTTGTGATTATGTTTCCTAGCATACCAAAACCAACTGATGTAAATGTAGCGTGAGTACATTTTTTATCATAATATAAACACACATTTTTTTCTTCCGTGATCTAAACTTGCATCTAATTTTTTGTTCAAGCTGCATAAATGTCTGTTTTACTGAATTCAGTTGTTTTACAGGGACAAAGCCACAAGAACAGCTACGATGAGAGAGCATCCCTATGCATCCCACATCTCTAGGTTTGCAGTGTTTCCATCCTTCAGCTCCCCTGATGACCCACAGACAGGAGTCAGAGCTGCTGCCCAACCTTTTCCCAACCTCTTCATCCCAAACAAAGCACCTGATATGACTCTGTTAAGCAAAACTATTGGTAAGGCACAATTGTCCACTACCTTAGTTTGCCCTATTCATTTGTTTTCTCCCTGTATCGCAAGTGTTGCACTGCAATATCCTTTGGGATAAATAAAGCTTTTTGAATCTTTTAATCTTGGATTTAGCAAAATGGCTTAATGCAGTAATTTCCCAGGTCCAACTGTTTTTTTTCTTTTGTTAAAAGACTTGTACACGTGATAGTAATCCATCCATGCCCACAGGTGGCCCATACAGACATGAGATCTTAGGAACACCATTGAAAACCAGGAAAAAGGCTGTAATTGGGACAAGAGAAAATGGTATCTTGGATGTAGGTACTAAGAAATACACTATAAAATATAACTGTGGTTCAATTTAACTCAAGTTGGTTTTCATCACCTTTCTCCAGCAAACTAAACCAGTAAAAGAAGAGGATCAAGGTTTCTACCCCACACCTTCAAAGATAATACATCCCAACCCTCGACTTCGTGACTGGAATTTGACATTATCAGAGCGTACAAGCAACATGCTGAAAAACTTAGAAAGAACCCAATGGATCACCTCATACCAAATGCAATATTCAGGTAAAAAGATTAAAAAGATGCCAAATAGAATCCTGAAAAACATCAGGAACATTAAGCAGTTTTGTAGTCTAAATTCAGTCAGAAGTTGTTTGTAGAAATACTTTGTAAAACAGTAAATGATGAAGCAGTTGTACCTTTGTTCATTTGAGTGGAATTATTCATTTGTTTTATGTCATGTGATTTTAAGGATTGGGGGCAGCAATTCCCATGAAAATAGATGATTTCAAGGAAAAAATGTGTAACTTCATCGGGATGGATTCACACTCTGCAACACAGGTAAATTACCTATTACATTTTCAGTGATATTTCAAATAGGAAGTACTTATTAAATCTTTTTTCCCAACTGTATGAAAAGTTCTGTCCTTTCTTTAATCCTTCTCCAAACCAAAAGACTTGTTCTGCTCATAAGGCAGCATAGGCCACAAGAGATCATAGTTGCAAAAGATGCAGCAACGATTTCAAATCAAATGGGTCACAGTCAATTAGAGCACAGAACTTGCTCCAAAGAAGCACAGTGCACTAAGTTGTCCCGGGAGATTTGATCCAAACAGCAAGCTCAAAGTAAAATCTCTGTGTATGAGGGCCGACAGAGAGAAAACTGCAGCGTTTGGTCAGATGAACATCTCATGCGAGAACCTGAACCGCAAAACATCCAAAAGGCAGATGCTTCTCAGATTGCAAATCCAGAGCGATGGCCAAACCTGGACAGCGGCCCATATTCTCAGACAGAGCTCAAAAGCAACAGCCGTCCCGTGCACCAGCAGGTAGTTGATTTATCAAGAGCCAAAATGGCAAACTTTACCAGAAGACAGACAAGTTCTAAATCAAATACGGGGTTAAGATCAGAGGCATCCTCAGATGAGGAAGGTAAAACAGAGCGCAGAGAGCCCACACTTGTTTTCTCTAATCCCTGCATTCTGCCTTACATCCAGCAAGGGAGTCGTTCAGCCCGCCGTACTGGAACTGTGGCTACAATTAGAGGAGATTTAAGCCTTCTTGACATGCAAAATTCATTCAGTAAATCAGAGGCCCATCGAAACTTCAACACATCTGTGACTCGTGCCGCTGCGAACCTGAGAGACAACGTTGTCAGTGGCAAAAAACACAACTTCTTTGGAATCAACTGCAACAACATTCGTGGATAATCTGTGAAACATAGATTTTACACTTTTTTTATCCTCTGTAGAATCTCAGAGGGCTGGGTAAGGATGGGCAAGCAATGAACTGAATGAGCTAAATATTCATTTCCTGTACATCAATCATCTGAACAATTTCTTCAAATATTAACTCTAAAATACTTACATCTTAATGTTCTTTACTTGGAGTTAAACTCGACCGAAATTGAGATGTTTGAAAATGAACAATTCAGTAGAAGTTCATTATTTTACTTCATGATTAAACTTACAGAGCTTACACATCGAAAGGGTCATAATGAAGGCTCTGAATTCTTAAGTGCATGGAAGTATACTGAAATTGTGTATTTTTCAGAGTAATGAAAAAAGGAACAGGAATGGAATTGTGTACAGTGATTAGAAAATATAAGAATTAGCTGAAATGTGAAACACTGCAGAGGATATGAAATTTCAATCTGCCGAGTAGGTACAATACATCCACCATCTTCACTAATAACTTTAATGATTTCTCAGATCTTGTCTCTGAATAATCCTGAAAATTCTTGTACTTTTAACATGGACTCGGGAAATAGTTCTGTTGGCTTCCTGAAGGTTTTTTTTCATTTATTTGAAATCTTGTCCTTGATCATGGCTATTTTCAGAGGAATGTGTTTTTCATTTGCTCAACTGATTGCTTGCTTGGTAGTTTTGATACTTATCAATGATCATTGAGGCATGAAATTATACATTTAACTTGAGGGCTGAACTGAACACAAAAGAGCAAATAACTAGTAATTAGACTGAAAATCCGTAGCAATCAGATTCCTTCAAGAAGCATGGAGCTATTGCTGAATGGAAATGTACATGCACTTACACATCACTTTTGCAGTCGAGCTGACTTCTCAGAATGCTTTACACTACGTGTCACACCAGACGCAACCAGTAGACAACTTGGGGTTCAGAGCCTTGCCCAAGGACTCTTTAACATGTGGTCTGGAGGAACATGGAGTTGAACCACTGACCCTCCAATCATTGGGCAACTGCTCTTTCAGAGCCACAGCCCTGAAGACTACTTAAAAGACATTATGGGTAAAGTACTGTATGTCTGAGAGGGGCCAGAAAATAATGCTGGTCATCCCAAACCTTTGACTCACGCTTGTTTGATACCCTGTGTCATTTCTGTTTGAACACATTAAATCTCTGCTCCTATTTCCAGTTTTTCTGGCAGTACAATCCATATAAAACTCAAATGAAAATAGAAAAAATACTCTTCGAGCAGACATTTGTCTTCCTGCACAGTGGAACGTCAAAGTAATTTTGATCAGCACTTAATTCACAGAGCTGCAGATTATTGTAAATGTGCTTAACTGACAGTGCAGAAATCTCTGTGAGGCTGATATTTTCCCCCCAATGGAACAGAGTTACCCTCAGCTGATTGTGCTGCTAGTGCTGTGGCATCTGTCCTTTTTATTTTAGATGTGCTACAGTAACCTTCAAGCTTGCAGTTATGAAAGGATAAATATGTTCATAATCCAGTGCTGGCAGCCTCACTCCTGTAGAAAGTTTCTTTTCATGTGTCTGTCTTTCTCCCATTCATTTCTTTTGTGAAAGCAGGACCTTGAGCAGCAAGCCTGAAGCCTTGGTGGTAGAAAAGCCTGTTGTTGAAACTCTGAGAATAAATATAATGACTTTCCCAGCAAAAATGGACATTTGACGTTTTCTTTTCTGAATACTGCAGAAAACCTGCACTTGTTGATTATAAGAAGATTTTTCTTTAGGAAACGGACAACTGGAAAGTACTTTTTGTTGCTCGGTCATACTTTCTCATCTGGTTTCTACTGTAATAGTTGCAGGTTATTATTCTAGATGTTTTATTGTGTGAAATTGATTTTTCTAACTGTATAAAATGTTCTTCATTCAAGTGGTGGTTGGGATTAAACTGTTTCCTTGGCCACATTTAGTTTTTTTAATTGAACCAGACCCAAAAAAAGTAGTGATTCCACTATTAATCCAGCAGATGGCAGGATTACATAATTTTCTCTGATTCGTCACGGACTTAATTTCTTTCCTCATATTATTCGTGTTTTTTTTTTCAATGTCGATAGCATTTTGAGATATTATGAAGTTGCTATTTCATTTTAAGCACTATATTTCAACCAAAACACACGACAATTAGATATATACTAAACAATTAGCCTACTAAAGCTTAGTTTTTGTCTTTGTCTTCTGTTTTTTTTTTCTCTAATTCCCCCAACAATGTTTTCTTGCCCAGTGTGGGTGCTTCCTCCCACCATCCAAAAACATGGGTGTAAGCTTAATTGGTGAATCTCAAAGTGCCCCTAGGAGGGAATGTGGGAGGTGTTTATTTGTGTGCGATGGACTGGCGACCTGCCCAAGGTGGAGCCCACCTCTCTCCCAATGACCCTACCAGGAATATGTGCCTCAAAGAGATAGATGACATCCTTTCCTTTTGGGGGTCCTCCTGAATACGTCACGGAGAGAAACCCTTCCAATTCAACAAACCCCTCTGGTTTGGGATGATTCCGAGCCAAAAGCCGTCCTCGGATTGGAGCCTGCTGCAGTCAGTCAGGATCCCCCCCCCCTCCCCAGCGGTGGAAGTGATGCTGTCAGAGTGCTGCATGCGGGTGCATGTCATACAGGAGTGGGCAGGCTCTGTGGTTCAGTCTGTCATTTTAACTTACACCCCTACTCATTGGCTGGGCAGAAGGATCGGATCGGTTTTCTTCCTCAGTAATTCACGGTGAGTGTTATTCTTCTCCTGCGCTATTCTGCCTTCTTCTAACTCTTCTGCAAGGACAAACGTGAGACATTACTTTTTGTTCTAGGGATAAATCGAGTTGATTAAAGGACTCAGATGCGTTTTGAGTTTAGTTTGAAAGTTATTTACCACGATTTAAGAGTTTTCAGTCTAAACCTGCAAAGTGAATCATTCCGGGAAAAAGTGGCTTTCTCATAAAGCAAACCTCGGTATTTCCCAAACAGGAGATCATTTTTGTTTCAAAGACCAAACTCTAATACATCTTTTCTAGTCTCCATGGTTACTCTGAACCCACTGCTCTTCCTCTACACAAGTGAAGACAAGTGTTGGGAGACTGTAGACTGTTTCTATGAAAGCCTGATTCTAAGTAAAGTTGATCGGGCTTGAGTTAAAGCCAGAAATCAGCCTGCTGAAGTGTTTGCATCTCTCATGCTGAGTGGATGTAGGTGTGTGTGATATTGAGCGCAGATTAAATAAGAGTTTGAGCTCAGTGTCACGCTTCTTACTCAGAATTTGAAGGAAAAACGGGACAGTGTTCCTCTTCCTTGTTTCTATGTGGAGATTTAACAAGGACGAAAGATGGAAACTATGGTATGGGATAGCTGTTGAACTTGTGACACGAGTCATTTCGTTTAAGGGTCCGGGGAATTAAATAACTCCTGCAGCATCCTTACGGGTCTCTTGGGTTTTGAATTAAACGTGCTAGATGGGGCGTTTTTCAACATGTTCAGTGTGCAGATCTTTCTCAGTTGTATTTCTATGCAGAGGGCTTTTTCAAGATCTTTACCAGACAAAAACTTGTATGACATAGAACTTTACAGGCTTCTGTTGAAATGTTTGTTTGAGATGTTGCGTCTCTATAATTGAGGGCTTGTTAGGCTGAGCACATAAACCCCTCCCTTTCCCACTATAACAGCTGTTTTCTCTTGGGATAGTGGTTTGTTCGGTGACCAATTTGCCACTCCCCATGAGGTTTTCCAGTTGCAATCGCACTCATGTCACAGTCAAACAGGGACTGTGCAGGGTGAGGAATCAATAGAATCTGTGGAATGCAGCAGCAGCAGTAGGAGAGAAAGGAAACATCTCTGACTCTGTGGTTATAACAGAATCAGGATGCTGCATTACATGAGGTGACCTCCAGAGTAATATAACTGAATTAAGATGCTCAGTGCTTTCTATCTCATTCGACATAATCGCCTCATTTTTCTGGGCCGGGCCTTTACATTACTGGAAGTTCCTTTGCATCTTTTTAGGTCACCTGCTCTGTGTGCTGTGCTCATCCTGTAATGTCATATTGCAGATTACTGCACACATGCTCGGTCCAGTACACTGATACCTACCAGTCAATAATTCCCATGCTCTCATTAACACAACAGTGGAAGCAAGGGATGTAGTATTGAGCCTCAACTGTGTGGCAGAATCACTCACACACATGATCCCCAATCATACGGTGACCCGTCCATTAAGGCCTACTTTTCTAAAAACAAAAGAGCACTTCTCCGCTTATGTGTCAACAGGTGACTAATATGGAAAGCGTATAAAGAATATGAGTAAAGCAGCTGCGTATGGGGAGCTTGTGGTGGGTGTTATTTCTCTTGTTATGGGGGCAGTAGGAATATGTAAATTACTCATGTGGTGTGTCAGGTTATGGATCTTATAAACCTTATAATTAAAATTCAAAGACAGGCATTTGCTTGATTGAAACAGTACAAGCTTTTTGAATATTTTATCTTTTTTTTGTCATCTAAAAAATGAATAAGCAAATTAAGTGCTGAACTGTTATGTGTATATCACCACGTTAGTGTTTTCTAAATTGGTGACACTGGTTTTTAATGACTGCTGCTGTTGTCATCAGCCTTCTCCTGGCGTCACAGAGACTGACGGAAGCTCGATGGCTGATTTCATATCTCCTTCTTAGACTGCTGGATGTCTGCATGAAATTTTAAAGAGGACAGCCCCAGCAGACACTTTTAACTTGGAATAATGCCACACGGGTAGAGGAGTTATGGTTTAACCTAACATCCCCATTCTTCAACTGAATAATTCAATCATTCAACATTTCATGTCTCACTCTTTTACAAACATTTGCAGCTTTTTATCCTGATGATCATCCCAGAAAAATTGCAATAAACTATTTAGTCAATTTAACACATGCTTTTGTTCCATCAAGTTAATCATCCGATGCAATTAATTTCAATACTTTGGGCATTTTGGGCATTTTGAATGAATAATGAAACCACAGAACTAGTGGTGG